CTGTTGGACAGCAAGCAACTGCAAGTGGGCACAGCCACTGAGCATATACGCGGGTGTGCCGGCAGGGCGGAGGAACTAGGGCAAAGGTCATGATAGACCTCGCGTGGAAGCCCATGGAACCTTCTAGAGGGTTCGAGAAGGGCGGAGCCAAGCCGCGCCGAGGGGAATAAAAGCAGCGGAAAGCGAGAGCTCAGGGCTGCCGGTTCTGGGATTGGACTCGTCTCGTCGTCGCTGCCGCCGCCTTCACCCGATCATTGCGCGTCTGGACAGCGGTTGGCTGTTCCGGTCGACGCCGTCTGTGCAACGCGGCCAGGGTCGTGTCTGGGACGGGTCGCGTGGCAGCGGGGGTCGCACGTGGGAGAGAGAGGGGGCCCGAGTGGTGGCGTGAGCTCGGCAACAACGATAAAAGGGCCTCCTGCGACCACTCGTCTCCGGCTGACTGTGTGTGCGTCGCACGCCACCCGCACAGCGCAGACGACACAACACTTGTATTAGGAAGCCACTGGAGCTATGCACTTTTAAATCTAATCTTGAAAACGAATTTCCTTAGAACTGTTTTTGTTGGGTTTAGTTTGTCCTTACCCCGCACCTGCGATTAGCACGGTTGGCTACGTACGGTGCGAAAGAACTTCAATGTACGTCCGTACAACCCCGAAGAGTATCTCACTGCGCGAACGGTGACAACGGACGCAACGTTTAGCGGACACGCGACACCAACGCAGGGTACACTCAGCAGCTCCCGCCAGCCGCGGGTCAGGGAAACACGCCTCGGTCAAGGAGGGATGGAGAAGGGGGGATCCTTTATAGAAAAACAAGTGTGAACACGACGCGCGTACAAATGTACAAAATGTATTTTAAAACTCATTTTAAATATTATCTCCGGCCCTCCCGACAGCTAAGCAAATTACTTTTTAACGTGCAATTAAATAACCTAACAGCATTAAACACTGTTTCGTGTGGACTCGTTGCAAATTGCTTGTCTATAAATTAAGTGCATTTCGAATGTGTTAAATTAGGCTGTGACAAGGGGAGCGATGTTCTTCCGGCTGTGAACGCAGAGACGCACATTTCGGAACGTTTCAACCGAACCACGGCGCTTCGAGTGGCTGCCCCCCCCCCCTCCACACAGCGAGACACGTGGTCATTCTCCCAACCACCACGCTGTGATAGTCACGGGGGGGGGGGGGGCGGGGGGGTCATTTGACCTTACTTCACACCACGCTTGTTAGTTCGGGTTCGTGAAGGTGGGTGGAGAGGCCCACAGGACCAGTTCAGAAACCACTCGCTGCATGGCAGAGGTCGCAATCGGGTACCCGATACCCGTCCCCTACCCGATACCCGGCTACCCGTACCCAGCCGGGTATGGGTACCCGTTTGCGACCCTGGTGCGGCCGGGTACGAGTAGGCCGTGAGTCACTGGTGAGTAACTGTTTGTCACTCATTTTCCAACGTCTTGTCTCTTCTCACAATTCAAGATCCTAGAATCAACCCACCCGCGCCTGCAACATGGCTTCATCCCAGAGGTCGCAATCGGGTACCCGTACCCTACCCGATACCCGGCCGGGTACGGGTAGCCGGGTATCGGGTAGGGTACGGGTAGCCGTTTGCGACCCTGGTGCGGCCGGGTACGGGTAAGGAATCAAACCCCGTTTGCGACCCTGGTGCGGCCGGGTACGGGTGCGGGTAAGGAATCAAACCCCGTTTGCGACCCTGGTGCGGCCGGGTACGGATGCGGGTAAGGAATCAAACCCCGTTTGCGACCCTGGTGCGGCCGGGTACGGGTGCGGGTAAGGAATCAAACCCCGTTTGCGACCCTGGTGCGGCCGGGTACGGGTGCGGGTAAGGAATCAAACCCCGTTTGCGACCCTGGTGCGGCCGGGTACGGGTGCGGGTAAGGAATCAAACCCCGTTTGCGACCCTGGTGCGGCCGGGTACGGGTGCGGGTAAGGAATCAAACCCCGTTTGCGACCCTGGTGCGGCCGGGTACGGGTGCGGGTAAGGAATCAAACCACGTTTGCGACCCTGGTGCGGCCGGGTACGGGTGCGGGTAAGGAATAAAACCCCGTTTGCGACCCTGGTGCGGCCGGGTACGGGTGCGGGTAAGGAATAAAACCCCGTTTGCGACCCTGGTGCGGCCGGGTACGGGTGCGGGTAAGGAATCAAACCCCGTTTGCGACCTCTGCTGCATGGGGAGCGACATCCAAGTGGCCCACACACCAAACTCCAGTCCCAGCCACCTGGGGTCCACTCCCAGCCGTGACGCACATCTTCACGATCGAGCGGTACATGAACTCTCCTGGGACACTCCTAGGTCGACTCAGCCTTAATAATTGATACTTCGTTCTGTGTGTGACGATTATAGCACTTGGAAATTACTCCCCCCCCCGTGAATGCTGTTACTCACTTCACCCACTTGCCTGCCACGCATCGGCCTTAATAGGAGCTTGCTAACATCACTTACCCCTACAGTCTACAAGGCTGTGTGGGGGGTTATTTTTTTGTACGTAAAGAGCGGTGGCAGTGTGGTTAGCACACTTCACTACATCCTGTAAAACCAGTAGTGAACCCTGACACGGTGGTAGTTGGTTTCTGAATCTGGAGCGGGCTTCCCCCAGGTCGACTTAGCCTGGAATGAGCACCTGATGTGGTGGTGGTGGTGGTGGAGGTAACCTCAGGGTACAGGATACAAAGAGGCGACTTGGAGTGGCGGCGGTAATGTCACTCACTCCTGCACCGTCGCCCTTAATAGGTGCTCGCGAACACCGCAGATGAATGGCCTTAGTCACGCGGGGGGGACCTTTCTGTAGCCATGCACAGGGTTTAGAATTGTTAGAGAGCCGTGACAGAGAAATGGAGCCCTCCCATCGAACATCAACACCACAAATAATAACGTGACGTGAAAGGGCACACCAGGCGGCATCGCTGGGACTAATGCATTTTAACTTGTCCATATTTAGCGGATGGATTCGTTCAAGCATAACTGATGGTTGTTGCATAAACAATCGCGTGGGTGACTGCGCTTTTAGGGAGCATGCCGAACAGAAACTGATGCTCATCGCCGTCCCACTGAATTACACAAATCACGGCAGTCCAGCGGCCTGGGTACATTTAAATGACACCTGTAGGCAAAATACTTTTTTTATCAAGTGAAAAACAAATTTCCTTGGCGTTTAAAAACCAACCCAGAGAGGCAGCGTGTGAACCGTTAACCCGTTAGTTCCCCAGTGTGCCACGCAGGGAAGAGCCGTTTCAAACTCGTCCCGAGCCGGGCTCACAGCTCTGTGGAACCGCCGTCTCCCAGCGAAACACACGTGGGCACGTGGGCACGCACGTGGGCACGTGGGCATGCACACGCACACATACAACAACAACAACAAAGTGGCGGTGACGTCACCACGACGCTTGTGCCAGGCCATGTGCACCTTGAGGCCACGTCAAGTGTCGAACGCCCGCTGGCAGGAGGTCACGAGGCAGACCCAGGTGCCACGGGTCGACTGACTGAGATGACCGAGATGACTGGCTGATGCACCACCCGTGCCCCCTACTGTACCAACTTGCTGTGCTTTAGCCACCTGGCGCTCTGCTCGTTGTTGTGAGCGTCGCTCCTCCGCCCTCCGTTGTTGTTGGAGGGCGACTGCCTCCAACTGCCCAGCAGCGTCCTTCACGAGCCTCCTCCACAGAGGCCAATCTTGACACCGCTGGTGCCAGTCACCGGCAAGTCCACTCAGCTTCACGTCCTCCTGTACCACATCACTCCATCTCTTCTCTAGCCCGTGCTGCGCCCGTTTAGCCCCCTCGATCCAGCCGAACAAATGCTGTCTAGGCATGCGGTGGCTGGGCATGCGGGCTACATGACCCAGCCCACGGGCACGCACGCATGCGACGCCCATCTCCACTGATTACCCACATTCCCAGAGACTCTCCAGATGATGGCCGCTGGCCACAAAGCGGTACGAATTTTATCGACCTTAGGAGGGATAAGCTGATGGGTTGAGTCGTCGAACTCCTGCTGGGATCTAACAATCACAGTGCCACGTGGTGGTATGAACATGTGACGATCACACGATCATCGCGTGATGCCAGGGAGAAGGTCCTGGGTGCCACCTCTGGGTGTGCCGCTGCATCCGTCTCTCTCATCCACCCCGTGTCTCTCCCCCTCCTCCACGTGTCTCTCCCCTCCTCCCCGTGTCTCTCTCATCCACCCCGTGTCTCTCCCCCTCCTCCACGTGTCTCTCCCCTCCTCCCCGTGTCTCTCTCATCCACCCCGTGTCTCTCCCCCTCCTCCACGTGTCTCTCCCCTCCTCCCCGTGTCTCTCTCATCCACCCCGTGTCTCTCCCCCTCCTCCACGTGTCTCTCCCCTCCTCCTCGGGTCTCTGCCCTCCTCCCCGTGTCTCTCCACTCCGCCCCCAAGTGTCTCTCCACCTCCTCCACGTGTCTCTCTTCCTCCTCCTCCTCCCCGTGTCTCTCTCCTCCTCCCCGTATCTCTCCACCCTTCCGTGTGTCTCTCCTCCTCCTCGTGTCTCTCTACTCCTCCCCGTGTCTCTCCATTTCACCCCCCCGTGTCTCTCCCCTCCTCCATCCCGTGTCTCTCTCCTCCACCCCGTGTCTCTCTCCTGCTCCCCGTGTCTCTCCCCTCCTACCGTGTCTCTCTCCTCCTCCCCGTCTCTCCCCTCCTCCCCGTGTCTCTCTCCTCCTCCCCGTGTCTCTCCCCTCCACCACCCCGTGTCTCTCCCCTCCTCCCCGTGTCTCTCCCCTCCTCCCCCGTGTCTCTCCCCTCCTCCCCGTGTCTATCTCCTGCTCCCCGTGTCTCTCCCCTCCTCCACGTGTCTCTCTCCTCCCTTCCGTGTCTCTCTACTCCTCCCCGTCTCTCCCCTCCTCCCCGTGTCTCTCCCCTCCTCCCCGTGTCTCTCTCCCCCTCCTCCATGTGTCTCTCCCCCTCCTCCATGTGTCTCTCCCCTCCTCCCCGTGTCTCTCTCCCTCCTCCCCGTGTCTCTCCACTCCACCTCCCCGTGTCTCTCTCCTCCACCTCCCCGTGTCTCTCTCCTCCACCTGCCCCTGCCTCTCACCTCCTCCCTCACTGCCGTTCCTTGCACAGCTACTTGGGCTCAAGTCTCGGCTTCGTGGGGTTTCTATTTAACTTTCCTGGCGTTCTCCCAAGCGGGCAGCCACGGGCGCTGGTGGACATAGCGGGCTGAGATCCATCAGCAGGCAGCCAGGGGCTACAGTGGGCCGTGCTGGCATGAGGGCAATGTTCACAGGGGGGGGGGGGGGGTGGGGGAGTGCTGACAAGACAATCCGTGTCGAGGATTGTCACCCTGGACAGCAGGAATCACGGGCGGACAACGGCTCGAACCCAGCAGCAGCAGCGGCCACCGCCGCCGCTGCAGGAGTAGCGGAGGAAATCGCTGCGACGCTTCCTTCGTGTTCACGAGCATCGACCGCTCCCCTTTTCGTGGCCTTCGGGAGACCGGCACGGCGGGGCAAAGTGCATCGAGAACCGTTCCAGCGCTCCCACCACGGCACGGGCCGCTCTTCCTCCTCCAACTCCAACTCCAACTCTTCGCAGGCGCGAGCTTCCTTCGGCGATCCTCGCCAAAGCGTCACCGCCCGGAGATTCCACCGACGTCCCAACAGTTCAGGTAGAACTCACACCCCGAGCGAGAGGCCCCGGGCTGGCGATCTCTCACCGTCTCCCCGGCCAGCCGCTTCCCGGCGTCCCAAACCGAACGAGCAGTGACCCCCCCCCCCCCCCCCCCCCCCCCCGGGCCTCCCGCCGCCGGGACGCGAGGCGAGACGCTGTAACCCCCGAGGTGAACCTCGTGGATGTCCAGCGAGACTGCCTCTGCCGAGAAGTCAAGGTCAAATGTCTCGCAGGACGGCGCTATTTCTCCATCGGCGGCTCCGACCCAACCGTGGTGGTAATTCCACGTTCCCGTGGCGGTTGGGGGGAAGCAGGCAGTCTTCTCCACCGTCTTTTCGCGCTCTGGAGTTAAGGCCGAGGGGAGGCGGCGGCGGCGGCGGCGAGGGCTTGGAGCGGCGAGCGCACGCGGGGACGCGGGCCACCACACGCCCCCCCCCCCCCCCCCCCACCGACGCTGGCGAGCCGCTAACGAGCGACTCACGAGCCCCGAACGAGCCGCTAGCTCGGGTCGCAACTCCCCCACGGCTCGGCGCTCCCCACTCCCACGTCCGCCCGGCACCGCGTGTTGCCTCGGCGCCGGGCGGAACCCGCGGCCCGCACGGTCTCGGGAACGTTCCGAGGGCAGGATTCCGTGGAGGCGTCGACGCCGAATCCCTCGGCAAGGGCGGCACGGTCGCGCTTAGGCCTTGGGGCAGCCGGCCCTCAGGAAGGCCATCACCTCCTTGGCCACGCTGCTCTTCCACGGCTTGACGTAGCTGTTGAGGTCGACGACCAGCCGCTTGGTTTTCAAGTCCTCCTGGCCGGCGATTAAATAGTCCATGCCTGTCACGAAACAGACAGAGAGAGAGGGAGGGAGTGAGACGCGAGAGAGCGTCGGCAGAGCGAGGCGTGCAGCGAGACGACCACGAGGTTTCATCACGGACTGACAAACTCGCTCCCTCCGCTCAGCCGTGTAAGCGAGCATCACCCTGCGTGCCGTGGCAAACGAGCGAGCGTTCACGTTTTATCGAGAACGAGCCGAAACATTCGGCCGGGCGCGACATCGGGGCAAAACGTTCGGTTGGGACGGAGCGGACGCGGAGAGATTTCAAACGAGGCGAGGGCGGACAAGTGTGTCACCCCCCCTGGGAGAGGCTGCGTCTCCACGATGGCTCGCGAGGGACGACTCGCTCGAGAGGGACGTCACCACGCTTCCGCACGAGACTAAATGCCGCTCTCCGGCGAGCTGCACCGAGTTCAATTCAACGGCCCCTCTCCTCCCCCCCCCCACTCTCTGCACCTCTCTGACAGAGATGCTCAAGAGTTGCGGGAAACTTTCCTGGCTCCGCCAGAACTTGGCGCAGTCCGCCACGGAGCGGCCGATTCCCCCCCCCACCGACACCGCCACCGCTGAGCCGCGTGGCGTCAACACTCGGCCTGTTTGTGCCGCGTCCTCGGCGAGGAATTTACGGGCTTTCTAACGGATTAATGTTTAATCCGCGCGTACCGCCGCCACACGCTCCCATTCCTCCTCGCTGCCGCGATGCCAAATCGCCGGACCGCTCCCCCCCCCACCACCACCTCGGCCGTGCGGCGTCGCGGGGGGGCGGGTGGGGGGGCTCCCGTCGGGACGTTGCCGCGCGTCCGCGAGCGTCGGCGAGGGCGGGAGTGCGACGCCTCTCCCACGGCCTTCTGGGAGCGCGAGCGGCGTAGAGCGGTTGGCGACGCGGGCCGGGCGGGCGAGGGACTCACCCGGGTTGAGCACGGGACAGGTGCACCCGCGGTGGGTCCACGACTCGGGGTAGAGCGTGCCGCCCGAGGAGTCGCCGCGCCGGCGCGCGCCCCGCAGCACCTTGTCCACCTTGACGTTCACCTCGGCGTGCGAGCCGCGGTCGTGCGCCGAGAGCACGCGCGCCTTCAGCACTGCGCGAAGACGGAGAGCGCACGTGTAGCCTTAGAAGAGTGCTGGGGCAAGAGCTGTTAGCGAGTAGCACCCGTGAAGGCCGGCACGGCGCACGATGGGGTGGGAGGCCAAGAACACGCCCGGCGATGTTTGGACACCGCACCAGGTACTCATTTGAGGCCGAGTGGACCTAGTGGAGGCCCAGGACTGGCTCAGATAATCATCACCGGCGATGGCCATCAGCGGGGTTCATAGCGCAGCGCGCGAACCGCTACGTTATCACACGCGCGTACACAAAGTACACACACATGCACACACGCGCACACGCACAAAGGTCCCCAGTGTAGCTCACACAGACTGCCGGGCCAAGTGTTGTCACGGCACACGAGGGGGTGGTGTTGGCGGCCACTGTGCTCTCTTACCGTACGTGTATTTCATCGCACAGAACTCCTCCACGCTCGCTATGGTCCTGTCCTTACACAGGCACTTCCCTGCGTGACAAGGGACAGGAGATCACGACGATTTACCCTCACGCTCCCTGCAAACGCACCACGTCCCAACGCCACCAATCGGAGATTTCAAATCCCTCCCCGTGCGCCGGGCTCGATACGGCCTCGCGCAGCCCGGCACACGGCGGCTCCCGGCACGCGCCGGCGCAGGTTTTGCCGTGGGGCAAACTCCGTGCGGGAAGGCGCCCGGAACCGGAAATCGAAGCCGGCCCCTTCCCGCCGCGGGAAGCGTAGCGGCGGCGCCACCGCCACCCTCCTGCCGCTCACCCGGGTCTCGTGCGGCCGAGAAGCCCTGCTGCTCGTCCTCCCAGCCCGCCTTGGCCGCGTGCCGATTGGGCGAGGAGGGGATGAGGTCAGGGATGCGCCCGCCAACGGGCACCTCGTGGCGGGGCTCCGCGTCGAACCTGCGGGCGGCAGAGTGGGGGGGGGGGGGGGGAGAGGGGGGGGGGGCGGGGGGGGGTAACGTCAAAGTGGTCCCTGCACCGTCCCCCAATGGGCCGAGAACTCCCCCCCCCCCTCCCCTCCCTTCCCCTCCCCCCCCTGCTGTCGCCGCTCGTTTGCGCAGGAACTGGCGCTGACTTTCCTGTGCGGGGCCGTGGAGCTTCCTCGCCGCGCGCGACCCCCTCGCTCCGCCTTCACCCGTCGTTCCGATTCATAAACCATGCCGCCGCACAGTACACGCACCCGGCGGGCGGCGAGATTGGGATAGTTGCCCCGCAGTTGAGCTTGCGTGAGCGTGAGTGAGCGTGAGCGAGCGACAGTGAGCGAGTGAGCGTGCGTGGGTGAGCGCAGGTGAGTTTAGGCGAGTGTAGGTGAGCGTGAGTGAGCGATAGTGACCGTGAGTGAGTGAGCGTGAGTGAGCGTGAGTGAGTTTGTGTGAGCGTGAGCGAGCGTGAGTGAGCGACAGTGAGCGTGAGTGAGCGATAGCGACCGTGCGTGAGCGAGCGTGAGCGAGCGTGAGTGAGCGTGAGTGAGCATGCGTGGGTGAGCGCAGGTGAGCTTAGGCGAGTGTAGGTGAGCGTGAGTGAGCGTGCATCACCCCTCGGTGCAGGTGCCCGTGTGCGGATCGCAGGAGCCCGCACAGTGGCACGGGATGCAGCCGCCCTCGCCGAAGCCCCAGTATCCCATCATGCACCGGTCGCAGTGCCGCCCCCCCACGCCGGGCTTGCAGAAGCAGTACCCCGTGCCGGGGTCGCAGCTCGCCTGCCGCTGGTTCGTGAGCGCGCCCAACGGGTGGCACTCGCAGGCTGCGGGTGGGGGAGGGGAGGAGGGAGGGGGGGGAGAAGGGGGGGGGCCCTTTATCCCGGCAGCTCACGACGCTTCAGTCGCACGGGGTCACGGTCGGGACGTCGCCACGGACGATGGTGCCGCGTGACGTGAAATCAGTCAACGCTGGGCCTGCGAGACCGGCTCCCACAGCCCGCCACCATGGCTCCCACAACCACCAACGTCACCGCCGCAATCACAAACGTTACCGCCACTGCCACCACCGACACCACCATCACCACAACAATCATACACCAACATCACAACCACGGCCATCACCACCACCATCGCCACCACTACCACAACCGCAACAACCACCACCACAACCGCCACCCTGCCACGAGTGTGGAATTTCCAACACGTGTTCAGGACCCGTCAGTGGAGACGAGCAGCACGAAAGGCTCATATCAGGATGGGGAAACCTTGACGGTGACGATGATGATGACGATAGTGATGATGACGATAGTGATGATGACGATAGTGATGATGACGATGATGATGACGATGATGATGACGATAGTGATGATGACGATGATGATGACGATGATGATGACAATAGTGATGATGACGATGATGATGACGATGATGATGACGATGATGATGACGATGATGATGACGATGATGATGACGATCACGTGAAGAGACTGGAGGCCTATAACATTCCCACTGGTAGCCTTGTTGTACGGCGCAGCAAGTCCAGAAGAGGTGAGGGTGGCGGTGTGCCGTGCCTCGGCACGTGCGCGGGGAGTTGCCGCTCTCCGCCGGGTGCCGGTAGAAGCCCGGCTTGCAGCGGTGGCAGTGCCGCCCCTCGGTGTGGTGGCGGCAGCCGTCGCACACGCCGCCGCTGCGGTTCCCCGATGCCTCCCACAGCGCGCGGTCCAGGTGGCAGCTGTCCGCATGGCCGTTACAGTGGCACTCTGCAGGGACGGGGGGGGGGAGATGGGGAGAGGGAGGGGAGACGGGGGGAGGGAGGGGAGATGGGGGGAGGGAGGGGGGGAGACGGGGGGAGGGAGGGACAATGGGCCGAGTTGACCCTCAACTAGGATGTGAACTCGCAGCCTTACGAGCCGCTCGCTCTACCGCCGAGCCCCTGGCCGGATAGAAGATGCAGCCACAGACAATACAGCAGATGTACACGTTTGTGTGCGTGTGTGAGTGTGTGAGCGTGAGTGTGTGTGCATGAGCGTGCGTGTGTGCGTGCGTGTGTGCGTGCGTGTGTGTGTGCATGTGTGTGTGCGTGTATGAGCGTGTGTGTATGAGCGTGTGTGTGTGTGTGTGTGCGTGCGCGCGTGTATAAGCGTGTTTGTATGAGCGTGTGTGTGTGTGTGAGCGTGTGTGTGTGCGTGCTTGTGTGCGTGAGTGTATGAGCGTGAGCGTGCGTGTGCGTGTATGCGTGTATGAGCGTGTGTGTGTGTGTGCGTGCGTGTGTGTATGAGCATGTGTGTGTGTGCGTGCGTGTGTGTATGAGCATGTGTGTGTGTACGTGTGTGTGCGTGTATGAGCGTGTGTGTGCGTGTATGAGCGTGTGTGTGTGCGTGCGTGTGTGTGTGAGTGTATGAGCATGCGCGTGTGTGCGTGCGTGTGTGCACGAGCATGCGTGCGTGCGTGTGTGCGTGTATGAGCGTGCGTGCGTGCGTGCATGTGAGCGTGCGTGTGTGCGTGCGTACTCTGGCACTCGTTGGGCTCCCCGGTCTTGCCATTGCCGGGCTGCCAGGGCCGGTCGTTGTAGATGGGGCGGCAGCGCTCGCAGTGCTGCCCCTCCGTGTGGTGGTGACACACGCAGCGGCCGTGCACCTGCACCACACACACACGCACTGGGCTGCACTCACACGTGCACCTGCACCACGGCCACACACATGCACTGGGCTGCACTCACACGTGCACCTGCACCACGGCCACACACACGCACTGGGCTGCACTCACACGTGCACCTGCACCACGGCCACACACATGCACTGGGCTGCACTCACACGTGCACCTGCACCACGGCCACACACACGCACTGGGCTGCACTCACACGTGCACCTGCACCACGGCCACACACACGCACTGGGCTGCACTCACACGTGCACCTGCACCACGGCCACACACACGCACTGGGCTGCACTCACACGTGCACCTGCACCACGGCCACACACACACACTGGGCTGCACTCACACGTGCACCTGCACCACGGCCACACACACGCACTGGGCTGCACTCACACGTGCACCTGCACCACGGCCACACACACACACACTGGGCTGTGCTCACACGCGCGTCTCACGCACACTCGCACACACTCGCACACACTCGCGCACTCATGCACTCGCAAGGCGTCTCCACACTCGCACACCCGCACACTCACACACTCGCACACGCGCACAGTCACGCACTCACACACACACTGGGCTGCACTCACACGTGCGTCTCACGCACTCGCACACTCACGCACACTCGCACACACTCGCACACACTCGCACACTCACGCACTCGCATACACACACACTCGCACTCGCAAGGCGTCTCCACACTCACGGAGACGAGGCTGCTGCTGCTGCTGCTGGAGGCGCCGGGTGCCGGCTCGCAGCGCTCCGCGTGGCCGTGGCACAGGCAGCTCCCGCGCAGGATCAGGTCGTAGACGGCAAAGTGACCGGGGCTCGAGTCCGCGCCCTCGCCGCCACCCACGGCGCTGGAGGCGGCGCCGGACGGCGGCGCTGGCGCCGGGCAGCGCCGGCACTCCTGCCGCCTGAGCAGGCGCAGCCGCAGGTTGGTGACGCCGAGGCGCTGGCGGGCAGCGGCGCCGAACGGGTCATCCAGGGGTCGCGACGGGGTCACGGCTCGAAAGATCACCTGCACGTGGCACGGGGGGAGGGAGGGAGGGAGGGAGGGAGGAACAGAGGGAGGGAGAGAAGGGCAACGGAGGGATGGAGGGGGGAGGGAAGTGGTCGTGACGCTGCCCAGCGGAGGCGCGTTCGCCGCTTGCTGTGCACGTACGCGGTTCGAACCCGGCCGGACGCCCTGGTTAACGCTGCGGCCTGTGCACGTGTCGTAAAATACGGTCAAAACTTCGTGAAAAACGACACCGCCAATTGCTCAATTGGGGTTACGGCAGACGACGTCGCTACCGATCGCCCTGCGCTACGAGCTGGGCGCCAGCGCCGACGGCGCGAAGTTAGTAGCACCGATGACGAGGCACAGGCCCAAAAGCCTCACAACGGCAAGGCGCGTGATTTGAGCCACGGGCGATAGCGAGAAGAGCCCGGGGGGGGGGGGGGGGGGGCGGTGATGGGAATTGCCAAGCGGAGCGGCGTGAGGGAACAAGCGGGAAGAGAAGTGAGCTGCGGTTTGGTGGGTGGATGAGTTGTTGTGACTGTCATTGTGGTCAGTGGGTGGGTGAGTGGGGGAGTGGGTGGGTGAGTGGGTGGATTAGTCGGTGGGTGGATGAGTGGGTGAGTTGTTGTGACCTGCAGTGTGGTGAGTGGGTGGGTGGGTGGGTGAGTGAGTGAGCGGGTGGGTGAGTGGGTGGATGGGTGAGTGGGTGGGTGAGTGGGTGGGTGAGTGGGTGACTTGTTGTGACCTGCAGTGTGGTGAGTGGGTGAGTGGGTAGGTGAGTGAAGGCGGCCAGGCGTGGTGCTGGCCACCCATTCGCTCGTGTACCGTTCCGGCCTTCACAGGTGCTCGTGAACAGCAGTTGCACGAACAGTTTATTTGAGGCTATATGGGGGGGTCGTTGTCTTTTGTTCAGAGAGGGAGGGTGGTGGTGTGAGTTAATGTGTGTTAGACTTTAACATGAATGAGTACCTGGTGTGGTATGTAAATACCGGCACTGTGGAACCAAAGGCCTTGATAGGTGCTCGCGAACAGCGCTTGGCTTTACAGGGTTGTGTCTGCATGCATCTGTACGAGAGTGTGAGTGTGTTAGTTTAAGGAAGGGTGATTGTGAGTAAGTGTTAGTGAGCGAGTGTGTTAGTGTGTTAGTGGCGAGCGGTAGTGTAGTGGTTAGCACTGCGCTACGAACCTGGTGGCCCGGGTTCGATTCCCACTCACGGCCAACACCAGTGACGATGATCTGAACCGGTCCTGGGCCTCCGATAGGTCAACTCAGCCTCAAATGAGAACCTGGTGTGATGTGTAAACATCGCCGTTGGGGAGACAAAGGCGGCCGGGCGTGGTGCTGGCCACCCGCCCCCTCGTGTGCAGTGCCGGCCTTCATAGGTGCTCGCTAACAGCACTTGCCCCTACAGTCTGTTAAGGCTACACGGGGGATCTTTGTCTTTATGTTAGCGAGTGTGTGCGTCACAGCGCTCAGCTCCCGACAGCCCCCCCCTCCCCCCACATGATCCCTCTCTGTTCACTCCCTGGGCCCCACTGAGAGCCCCCCCCCCCCTGCCTGGTGTACGCGTGGTGTAAGCGTGGTGTAAGCGTGGTGTACGAGAGCCACGCTGTCCAGTACTGTTGGTACGACCATCGGTCCCTGGGTACGCGGATCCCGACACCCCTGCCCCATCCCCCGCCACTCCTCCCTTACCCGCGAGCGGGATTCGAACTTGGGTCACCAGGTTGCACATGCACACTTGCTGAACGTCTTTCTCGCCGTGCATAGCCAACCATGCTCATCGGAGGTGCGGATTTGTATCCCAGCGCGCGAACCACCGCACTACTGCTCCCACTCATCCACCCGCTCACTCGCCCGCCCGCTCGTCCGCTCGCCCGCCCGCCCGCCCGGTCATCCACCGACCCACCACAGGTCACCGCACTTCTCTCGCACTTCTCCACCTGGGAATTCCCTCCTCCCATCATCATCATCGTCATCGTCTCTTCCCCCCCCCCCCCATGTCTCTCAACCACAACAACAATCTGGTTCAATTTAACGCTCCCGTCCGCTGCAACTTTGATCAATGCTCTTTGTTGCTGGACGTTGAACGGCTTGGGCAAGTGGGGCCGGCTGTGCCGAGTAAAGCGGCCACGAGGCAAAGCCACGAGCCGGGAGGGGAGCCGAGCCGAAGCGCTACGAAGTCAACCACAACACCACAGGGGCGCTGCGAAGTCAACCACCGCACCACAGGGGCGCTGCGAAGTCAACCACACCACCACAGGGGCGCTGCGAAGTCAACCACACCACCACAGAGACGCTGCGAAGTCAACCACACCACCACAGCGGCACTGCGAAGTCAACCACAGCACCACAGGGGCGCTGCGAAGTCAACCACAACACCACAGGGGCGCTGCGAAGTCAACCACACCACCACAGCGGCACTGCGAAGTCAACCACAACACCACAGCGGCGCTGCGAAGTCAACCACACCACCACAGCGGCACTGCGTAGTCAACCACAGAACCACAGCACCACAGCGGCGCTGCGAAGTCAACCACACCACCACAGCGGCGCTGCGAAGTCAACCACAGAACCACAGCACCACAGAGGCACTGCGAAGTCAACCACAACACCACAGAGGCACTGCGAAGTCAACCACAACACCACAGGGGCAGCCGTGAATAACGCTCGCTCCGCGGCTCCCTGCAGACGCGCCGCGCGCCGCGCGTCTTAAAGCGTCGGGATTACTACTCGGGGCGGTCAACATCCTGCTCCCCGCACGACCGGTAATCTCATGAAATACAACAATAAGCGGGAGCGTAAAACAACACAAGAAAGCCAGGCACGCCGAATGGGGTTTGTGCAGCGAATGTAAAGGAGTTGAGGGGCACAGACGCGACGGGTTCAGCTCCTTAGCGGAGGACCAAAGCGGCGGCGCGACGGGCGCCAGCGCCGCTGATTCGCCATCCCGAGGTCACCGCCGGTTCGACCCCACGGCTGCAAGTTCCTCAACACGCCCCGGCCCGCTGCCTCCGTTCTGCCCCGGCAGCGCGAGATCGCGTTAAAAAAAAAAAAATCGCGCACAAAAATAAATTCTCCTCTCGGCTGCCACTCCGTCGCTCTCCTCGCCCGCCCGCCCGCGTCTACCTCAGCCGAGTTGAACGCCGCCGCGCGCCGCGCGCTCCGTTCGTGGGACAAACACGGGGGGGCGGTGGGGAGGGGGGGCCATCCTGCCGAGACGCGACAACCCCGAGTGGCGGCGGCGGGACCGGGGAAGCCCGCACGGCACGCGTGCCGCTAAAACCGGGTGGCACCGCCGCTCCCTCCGCGGGCGGTTTTCATGGTGGGACAGGTCGACTTTGGACTCCCGGCGGTAGCAGCAGGTGGTTGTGAGTCCTCGCCCCCAGCCTACGGGAAGATTCCCTGTCGCACCCATCGCGCCCATCGCGCCCATCGCACCCATCGCACCCATCGCACCCATCGCGCCCATCGCACCTATCGCACCCAATCGCGCCCATCGCACCCAATCGCGCCCATCGCACCCATCGCACCCAATCGCGACCATCGCACCCATCACGCCAATCGCAACCATCGCACCCAATCGCGCCCATCGCACCCAATCGCGCCCAAACGCACCCATCGCACCCATCATCTCTCTTCCTCCTCTGGCTGGCCCCAGGGCCCAGAGTGCGGCGTGCGGGTCGGCCGCGGCGGCTCGCTCCACGCTCGCTCTCTCGCATTCAATTTGCTTCAAAGGAAGGCAAATATTGACTTTCTCAGGGTTCGAATTAAAGCCGGAGAAAGAGAGCGAGCGAGAGCGAGAGAGAAAAAAAACAAACCCCCGCTCGCTTTATTTTCACCGCCTCATATTTTTAGACGCCGAGCCACGTTAGCATTCCGCCCGCGCGCTGGGAAGACGGAAACTTTGGCAGAATCGCCGGCGCGATGCTTACCATGGCGGCTCACGGGAACGCCGCCGCATTCACACCGAGCGCCGTCGCTTCGAGCGGACGCTCGCCCATTCACGCCTCCGTCTATCCGTCTCGTCGCCGAATAACAATCGGGGCGTGAACCACCCACAGCCTCGGCGAGCGGTGAACTCCACCGACCCATGACCTAGAAGTCACGGAGTTGGCATCCTGGCAAGGAGTGAACTCCACCACCACTTGTTGTAGGTCAGCGGACCCTGCCATGAGAATGCGGAATTTCCACCACTGGCCTGGTGCCCGGAACGGAGCGCCGCGCCATCGCAAAGGGAGCCATTTGCCTTCTGCGCGACATTCCGTTTGCCACCGACCCCGACGCACTCTCCATCATCGTCACCGTCGCCGCCGTCGCCGCCGCGTCGCGCTGGAGCGGTGCCAGGGCCTCGCGCCACGATGAGCGACGCTCCCCCAAGGAGCGCCGCCGATCGCCTTTGTCACCGCACACACAAAGCCCCTCGTCAGTCGCGGGGCTCGGCGCTCAAGCCGTCTCCACCACCACCACCACTGCCACAACCGCAACAACCGCCACCACCGCCACAATCGCAACAACTGCTACCACCGCCACCACCACTGCCACCGCCACCACCACTGTCACCACCACCACCGCCACAATCACAACAACTGCTACCACCGCCACCACCGCTGCCACCGCCACCACCACCGTCACCACCAAAATCGCAACAACCGCCACCACCGCCACCACCACCGTCACCACCACAATCGCAACAACCGCCGCCACCGCCGCCACCGCCACCCCGCGTGGTCACTGCCCCCCCCCACCGTCTCTATCAGCATTCCTCAGCCGGGGCTGGATTGTCCACATTCCCATGGCGGGGAGGGGGTGGGGGATCAGGCTACGCCGCAGGATGGCAGTTGTTGGCAATTAAACTTGAAAGTACTAACTTTATAGACCACGGAGGGATGATTGGCCATACGAACTTGATGTTCGTAACGTCATTTGTGTACCACCGACCACGAACAGCACGTGAACAAACACTCTGACAAACAGTGACGCTGTGTATGTGATACTTGTGTGCATCTGTGTGCATCTTCTTGGTTCTTTCGGTAAAGTCACGTAGAATGGAAATAATAAAATAAGAAAAATAAAACATAATAAAATTATTTTATTATGTAATATTTCTTATTATTTTATTATTATTTTATTATGTTTTATTTTATTATGTTTTATTATATTTCTTTTATTATTTCCATTCTACGTGAATCCCTGCAGTCACGAAAGCTTTAAATCGAAATCTGTGTGCATGTTCACGTGTGCGTGTGTGCATGGGCTTGTGAGTGCAGCGGTGAGCGCGCTACACTACAAGCCCGGCCACCCGAGCTCGATTCCTGCTCACGGCAGTACCAGTGAAGATTATCTGGACCAGTCCCGGGCCTCTCTAGGTCGACTCAGCCTCAAATCAGTACCTGGTGTGATAAAAAATCGCCACGCGGGAGACAAAGGCGGCCGGGCGAGATGCTGACCACCCTCCCCCTCGTGTGCCGTGTCGACCTCCATCGGTGCTCGGGAACAGCACTTGCCCCGACAGTCTGCACAGGCTATACGGGGGATCTTTGTATGTTGTGTGCACGCGAGGGGGGTGGTGCACTGGTGAAGTGGATCACGCCCCGAGACCCAAGTTTGATTCCCGGACGTCAACGGACGAGTTACAGCCGAACCAATCCTGGGCATTCTCTACGCAAGTTCGGCCTCAAGTGAATATACGACCAGGGAGACAAAGGCGGCCGTGGCAGTGCTGGCCACACCACCCCATCGCCACTTTCTAGCCCCGTAGTTACGTTGAATTTCTTCCGCGCCGTACGCAGCCAGCCGTGCGAATCGGGAGGTGCGGCCTTCGCAGCTGCTCGTTAACAGCACCGGGGGGACCTTTGTCCGTGCCGCGTGCGTGCGCGCGTGCCGCGTGCGTGCGCGTCCCACCTCTCCGCCGGTGCACGGCCGCGCCTGCGAGTAGCGCGACGTGCACACGGCGCCCGGCTCGTCGGCGTCGTCGGCGAGCGCGAACTCGGCGCGGCAGTCGGCCGCGAAGAACTGGAGCGGCGTCCAGCTGACGCCGCCGTCGCGCGACCGCTCCAGCAGCATGGCAGCCGGGCGGCTCGAGCGGAATATGGCGACCATGTGGGTGAAGAGGAACTCCCCGCCCAGGTCCAGCCGCACCTCGTCGGCCCGCGCGCCGCCCGCCGACTGCCACCAGGAGCGCGGGCGGGCGAACGGCGAGTCGGCCATGGCCGAGGGGCTCCGCGCGGCACCCCCGCCCGCCCGCGAGTCGCACACCGCGCGGCACGGCCCGCGACGGCACGCGGCCGCCCCCCCCTCGGTCTCCATGTCAGTCTCGCGGCCGCGGCGGTGGCGGCGCCGGTGACCAGAGTGGCGCTCCTCCGGCGAGCCGCCCGCCGCCACGCAGGCCGGCTCGGAGCCGTTGAGGCCGCACTGCGTGAGGGTGGAGAGGCTGCGGCCCTGCGCCAGGTTGCCCAGCGGCGGGTTGCACGCGCGGCCCGCGCAGCGAGATGCGCGGGCCGGCACTGAGGCTGCGTGGGAAAACACGAGGCGGCGCGTCAACAACAACGACGACGACGATCGCAACAACAACGACCACGACAGCAACAATGATCGCAACAGCAACAACCACGACGATCACAACAACAATAACGACTTAAAGCTTTCGTGACTGCAGGGATTCATCTTCTTGGTTCTTTCGGTAAAGTCACGTAAAAGGAAAATAATAAAATAATAAAAATAAAACATAATAAAATCATTCTCACGACGTTTCGGCCAGAACGCAAGCAGCCGTCTTCAGGTGGAGAACAGGTCTGTCGAGAAAGATTATTATTTTCCTTCTACGTGACTTTACCGAAAGAACCAAGAAGAACAATAACGACATCGTGCGCGGCTCGTTGAGTCCCGAGCAAAGCGCATCCACCGTCCACCGCCAGGAGACACGCTGCCAGCTCAGAGCTGGAACTCAACTCGCTCGCCACGCAGGGGCACGGCGATCCAGCACTCGCACACTCGCTCACTCGCACACTCGCTCGCACACTCGCTCACTCACTCGCTCGCACACTCGCTCACTCACTCACACGCTCACACACTCGCTCACTCACTCGCTCGCACACTCGCTCACTCACTCACACGCTCACTCGCTCGCTCGCACACTCGCACACTCGCTCGCACACTCGCTCACACACTCGCTCACTCGCTCCCCGGCGGGCGGTCAGTCACCTGTCCTCTTCACTCTTCTACAGCTACTACCGCGGTCACTTCACATGTGACACACATTGATAAATATGCATCTTCGTTTGCTTACATATTAGTGTCTACAGTGGTTTCTGTAACTCACTTCTGTAATCTGTGTTGTGTTCCAACGTGGTTGGTAATTCTGCCCAAGACGATTTGCACCGCAGGGAATCTATTCTGTGACAAGTGTTCGATTCCTCGTCGTGCGAGGAGCACTTGTTGTTGTTGATCATATTTTCTGTTTGTTGCTGAATGAAGTTGTTTACGCCGCAGCTCACTACTCCCCTCTCATCTCACTCCACCCCCCTCTCATCTCACTCCACTCTCATCTCATCTCACTCCACTCTCATCTCACTCCACTCTCATCTCACTCCACTCTCATCTCACTCCACTCCCCTCTCATCTCACTCCACTCCCCTCTCATCTCACTCCACTCCCCTCTCCCCGCACTCCACTCCCCTCTCCCCTCACTCCACTCCCCTCTCCCCTCACTCCACTCCCCTCTCATCTCACTCCACTCCCCTCTCATCTCACTCCACTCCCCTCTCATCTCACTCCACTCCCCTCTCATCTCACTCCACTCCCCTCTCATCTCACTCCTCCCCTCTCACCTCACTCCACTCCCCTCTCATCTCACTCCACTCCTCTCTCATCTTACTCCACTCCCCTCTCATCTCACTCCACTCCCCTCTCATCTCACTCCACTCCCCTCTCATCTCACTCCACTCCCCTCTCATCTCACTCCACTCCCCTCTCATCTCACTCCACTCCCCTCTCATCTCACTCCACTCGCCTCTCATCTCACTCCACTCCCTCTCATCTCACTCCACTCCCTCTCATCTCACTCCACTCCCTCTCATCTCACTCCACTCCCCTCTCACCTCACTCCACTCCCCTCTCACCTCACTCCACTCCCCTCTCATCTCACTCCACCCCCCTCTCATCTCACTCTACCCCCCTCTCATCTCACTCTACTCCCCTCTCATCTCACTCCACTCCCCTCTCATCTCACTCCACTCCCTCTCATCTCACTCCACTCCCCTCTCACCTCACTCCACTCCCCTCTCATCTCACTCTACCCCCCTCTCATCTCACTCTACTCCCCTCTCATCTCACTCCACTCCCTCTCATCTCACTCTACTCCCCTCTCATCTCACTCCACTCCCCTTTCACCTCACTCCACTCCCCTCTCATCTCACTCCACTCCCCTCTCATCTCACTCCACTCCCCTCTCACTCCACTCCCCTCTCATCTCACTCCACTCCCTCTCATCTCACTCCACTGCCCTCTCATCTCACTCCACTGCCCTCTCATCTCACTCCACTCCCCTCTCATCTCACTCCACTCCCCTCTCATCTCACTCCACTCCCCTCTCATCTCACTCCACTCCCCTCTCATCTCACTCCACTCCCCTCTCACCTCACTCCACTTCCCTCTCATCTCACTCCACTCCCCTCTCATCTCACTCCACTCCCCTCTCATCTCACTCCACTCCCCTCTCATCTCACTCCACTCCCCTCTCATCTCACTCCACTCCCCTCTCATCTCACTCCACTCCCCTCTCACCTCACTCCACTCTCCTCTCATCTCACTCCACTCCCCTCTCATCTCACTCCACTCCCCCTCTCATCTCACTCCACTCCCCTCTCATCTCACTCCACTCCCCTCTCACCTCACTCCACTCCCTCTCATCTCACTCCACTCCCCTCTCATCTCACTCCACTCCCCTCTCACCTCACTCCACTCCCCTCTCATCTCACTCCACTCCCCTCTCATCTCACTCCACTCCCCTCTCATCTCACTCCACTCCCCTCTCATCTCACTCCACTCCCCTCTCATCTCACTCCACTCCCCTCTCATCTCACTCCACTCCCCTCTCACCTCACTCCACTCCCTCTCATCTCACTCCACTCCCCTCTCATCTCACTCCACTCCCTCTCATCTCACTCCACTCCCCTCTCACTCCACTCCCCTCTCATCTCACTCCCCTCTCATCTCACTCCACTCCCCTCTCATCTCACTCCACTCCCCTCACTCCACTCCCCTCTCATCTTACTCCACTTCCTCTCATCTTACTCCACTCCACTCCCCTCTCACTCCACTCCCCTCTCATCTCACTCCACTCCCCTCTCATCTCACTCCACTCCCCTCTCATCTCACTCCACTCCCCTCTCATCTCACTCCACTCCCCGGGCGGTCGCCCCCCCCTCTGCTGCCCACCGTCAGGGACTCCCTCCTGCCTCTGGTCAAGTCCAGGTTCCAGACTCCCCTCTCCTCGTCTGCCACTCCGCTCTCTGCGACCGAGCGTCTCCGTTCTGACAGAAACACTTCCTCCTGCACAGAGCGCTCCTCCATCCCAACCCGCTTCCACCAAAACCCTCCTCCCCAACGCAGCAATCCCTCCTCCCCCTCATCCAAGCCACCGTCTCCCCTCTCGTCAAGCAGCGTCCAGGCCTTGTGACGCGCGCGTGTAACAATCGTGTACAAACATAATTCACTGGCCTCACTCCGCTGCCGGATTGAGGGTAACCCCGCGTCGTGTTTGTTTCTGGGGGTTATCTGACCGTACTTCACCACGCTGGTCATCGTGGGTGGATGAGGCAGGAGGGGAGGGGGCTGGCGAAGCGGGGCCGGTTCCGACCCCGCCCGCCGCTGGAAGTGAAAATCCGCAGCGCAAACCCGCACTCGGCTCGCCGGGTTTCACGGCGCAGCGTGGCGCTAACCGCTGCACCACCGCTCCCCCCCCACCCCCGACACCTGCCCACGTGCGCCTATCGGCAGGCGTCGCGTGCAGGGACTTGCCTCGACGTGCGTTCCTACACGAGGGCTCTCCGTGCGCACGTCGCCCCGTGGCCTGGATGGAGGGAGCCGAGTGGCCTCCGCGTCTCTCACTCCGCTCACCGCCGACAGCTGACTAACCACACTTTGGGACGTCCCCAATTGGCCAGGACCCTCCTGTAAACTGAGTCTCGAGATTCGGCGAGGCTTTTAAAAACAAATCCAAAGCGTCTTCTTGGTTCTTTCGGTAAAGTCACGTAGAATGGAAATAATAAAATAATAAAAATAAAACATAATAAAAAAAATATCACGACGTTCTGGCCACAACGCAAGCAGCCGTCCTCAGGTGGAGAAACGTCGTGAGAATTATTTTATTATGTTTTATTTTTATAATTTTATAATTTCCATTCTACGTGACTTTACCAAAAGAACCAAGAAGATGAATCCCTGCAGTCACGAAAGCTTTAAATCGAAAAATCCAAAGCGATTTCCTGCTCAGATGAGCTCTGAGCCGGTGCCCATCTTCTCATTTCATCACAGAGTCCATGGGGGAAATTCCACGTTCCTATGGCGGGGCAGAGTCGTCTCATAAAGCAATCAAAGTGACCCCTCAAAAAGTGGCGCCCGTTGAAAGGGACGCTGGAGGAACGACGGCCTGATTGGGCAACCAAACCGGGATTGGAACTCACGGTCCCAGTGACTCGCGGATCGCTCGCGGGTAAACAAACACCTCGGACTCGTCGCACACAGAGAGACGGGGGGACGTCTGAAGATTGGAACGCAGAGAAAGGTGGTGACTGTCCTCAGGGGAAGGCTGTTGCAGACTGCAAGCCGAGCAGCGTAGAAACGTAGGTCTCCGTCGCACGCGGACGCGTGGAGGAAAACGTGCCCTCTGTTTTGAACAGTCGGTGAGAGTGTGATCATTTATTTCTTCAAAGGGGCAATGCTATTGTTGCAAGAGCTTGGGGAAAAGAGAGGATGGAGAGGGAATTCCAAAGCGGAGCGGTGCAAGGGAAGAAGCTGAAAGAGAAGGGAGGTGACCTGCGGTGTGGTGAGTGCGTGGCTGAGTGGGTGGGTGATTGGTTGGGTGGGTGAGTGGTGTGGTGGTTGAGTGAGTGAGTGGCGTGGTGGTTGGGTGAGTGATTGAGTGGTGGTTGAGTGAGTGAGTGGCGTGGTGGTTGGGTGAGTGAGTGAGTGGTGGTTGAGTGAGTGAGTGGCGTGGTGGTTGAGTGAGTGAGTGAGTGGTGGTTGAGTGATTGAGTGGTGTGGTGGTTGAGTGAGTGAGTGGTGTGGTGGTTGAGTGAGTGAGTGGGGTGGTGGTTGAGTGAGTGAGTGGTGTGGTGGTTGAGTGAGTGGTGTGGTGGTTGAGTGAGTGAGTGGGGTGGTGGTTGAGTGAGTGAGTGGCGTGGTGGTTGGGTGAGTGAGTGGTGTGGTGGTTGAGTGAGTGAGTGGCGTCGTGGTTGAGTGAGTGAGTCGTGTGGTGGTTGAGTGAGTGAGTGAGTGGTGGTTGAGTGGC